CAGTAACTGATAACTTGAAAAGAGGTTAAAGGCATCAATGTTAGGGGTGCTTCATTTCCTCGCTCTGTGTGAAAACTTTTGTGTTTGTTTCTTCTGTTGTGCCTGGTTAATATCAATTTACTCACATCATGGATCCTTTTTTGTGACTCACACTACAGCTAGAAGGTTACACAGTGGGGGCTTTTCTATTTGAGGCACCATTTTTTTTTCCTCAGAGACGCATACCAGGTCTAAACGAACTTGCCCACACAATGGCCCGAGTGCAAGAGTGTGTGTGTGTGTCTGCTTATTGCTGTGTAAGCAATGTATGTTTCATTACCAGACTTTATTTTCTGTCCTCAATGGAACCTTTCTCTTTTTGCTTTTGGTGTGGACTAGAGAAACCATTTCACGGCAAAGCCGGGTCTATTGCTTTTGTTTTTGCCCCCTTGTTTGCCTGGAGTCTTCGGCATTCAGCGCGGGGGTCGGCATTGTTCCTTCCTCCAGGGCTGGGTACGCTGCTCCGAGGGTCAGTTGGAAATGAAGCTTCTATTATCTGCGATCTGCCTCTAAGCCGGTCGTCCCTACACTAAGGCTCAGCCAAGCATGAAGAAAACTAATTGTCCCCACTCTCTGCTCTACTGCACACCAAAACCCTGCCCCTGCTTCTCCCAGCTCTGCATCAGTGGGAGAAAACCCGGCCTCGCGAAGGCAGAGGGATCGGCGCTCCAAGGTCCGCTCTGGCCAGGATGCGCGCCGGCGGCGGCCGGGACTCACCCGGAGCGGTCCAGAGGCTTCTCCAGGCGCTGCCTGGGCTGGGAAAGGGGCGGAGGGAGGGAGAAAAAGCTGATGACTCTGCGTGTTCCCAGTAATTGCAATGGGCATAGGAAAGGGGAGCTGATTAATTTGCCTGATGAATTATGCATCAGCTCTGCGTGCCGCCCTCCCAGCTTCAAAGCTTTATTATTCATGTTATTTGAATCCGACCACCGTCTCCCCTCGCCTGAATGCTGCTGTCCAACAAGTATCAGGCGGCAAACATTTTTGGCGCTTGATCACTATGACCACATAACAGAGCGCTTCCAGGAAGTGGGCAGAATTAGTGAAATGTGATCTGTATTCAAAACACACCCCCCCACACACACCCACACCCTCACAGCTGGAGTAATTCATCAATAACAAGCCCGGGATGTGAGGGCAAACTCAGCTGTCTTTTGTAGTATAGGGCAAAAATCAAAATGTAAAGACAGAAGTGGCAATTATTTTGTTAAGTCGCGTTTTAAGTTAACACCACATGAAAGAAAGTCTCTTTTAATAAAGAAAGAAGCAACAAGGGACACCAGGACAGTGAGATTAACTTTATCTGGGTATTTCAAGGCCTGTGGATGGCAGATTTGATCTCCTAATTTTTCATCTCTCTTCTCTGTCCAATCTTGGGCTTAACCAAGGGCCCTTTCCAATCCCTCCTGAGTCGCTAGTGGAACCTGGCTTTTCATGAAGGGGCCTAGCACCCACTAAGTGGTGCCTTGCTGCCTTGCCGCCTGTCTTTCCAAGTGAAGACAGAAAACTCTTCGTGTTACTAAAACCAGGAAAACAAAGGCAACTCTTTCTGTGTGAGCTGAAGTTGGGGTTGCAGCTTGGGCAGGGCCTAGTTTTTTGCCAAGCTTTTTCTGTTAGACTTGGTCTGAGGGGCAAGACTGTCAAGGGAAACAAATTCAGTTAGTGGAACAGAAGTAAGTTAAAATTTTTTTTTTATTTTGGTAACAGCTTTTATTGAGATGTGATTCACATACCACACCATTCACCTACTTAAAGTATACAATTCAATTGTTTTTGGTATATTCATGGAGTTGTGTGATTATCACTACAATAAATATTAGAATATTTTCATCACCTACAAAAGAAACATGCCTCTTTCCTCAGAGGAGGCAGCGGAAGTTTCAGTACTGGCTCTTCCTTTGTGCCCCTGTGGACTGAAGACCTTTCTGAATCAGCTGGGCTGTGGATTCTTTCCCTGGCTGCAAAGTAAAATGAGGAGTTGGAGTGGGTATTCTGCAACAACTCCCAAGAAACAGGGAGCAAAACAGGGAGGCTTCTGTGTCTGGCCTTGAATCCTGACTTCATTTAGGATGGAGTTAGCTTCATCTTGGGCAGGTCATCATCTCTCTTCCAAAGGATAGTTCTCTTATCTGTAAAGTGGGAAGAATACAGCTTACCCAGAAATACAGTGGAAGGATGGAGTGGAGGTAATGTTCACCAGGTGCCTTTCATTAGCAGACAATAAATAAATGTCTTAAGGCTCTGTTAATGCTAGAAATCTCCAGTGTAATGATGAGTCAACTACTCAGGCAGTAGAGTAGTTATCCAGTACTTACTTTATGTCCCTAAACATAGAGAATAAAGAATATGATGGGGACATTGCCCTAGGCTATATGAAACAGATAATAGCCAGGACAGATATTGTTCCTTTAGCTGGAAGATGCTGCTGTCATCTCCCACTCCCAGTAACCAGTGGCTTGTCCCTCTCCCAGGGTTCTCAGCACTTTCTCCTTTGGGTTTGAAGTATTAGGGCAAGGTTTTATCTGCTCCACCAGACTGTGATATCCTTGAGGGTGGGGACCATGTTCTTTCATATTTAAAATCTGAGCTTATCAGGGGGTTCCCTCTGAAACCACCCTGCTTCTCTAGTTATCTTGCCTTTTTCTTCCTCTCTGTGGCTATTTGTGATTTTATAGTTAGAATTTCATTTTTTTTAAAGCCTCTTGAGCCATATTTCCTTGCAAAGCACAGCTCTACAGGCACGGCTATCTTTCCTTGGAACATTCAGATGTTTTATTTCCTAAAGTCTGGGGCACTGCTTCAGTTCACGTGATTGACATGATGGGGCATCTCCTCACACTGGTGGATTTTGCCTCCCATGCTGATTGGCAGACTCAAAATAGTAATTACATTCATTGTTCTCTCTACTTTTAGAATCAAATAGTCATCAGAAAGGCAAGTCAAAATGTTATTTCTTTAGAAGAATAAACCTTCCCATTGAACTCTAGGTAACCAAGCCCCTGTTGCTTCCTCATCTTGCCCAGGTATAACAGGAGGGAAAGGGGTAGGACACAAGTTTTGAAAGGATGACATAGCCCAAGGACACAACATGAACTGATTTGAATCAAATGGGGCCAAGATGACAGACAAGACTAGATCTTAACTCTGAATCAACAAGTGAAATGACACACCAGAGGTGCCATGACAGTTCCAAGGCACTGTTAAAAGACCAAGGAGTAAGGGTGGCCCAAGTCCTGGAAATCTCTCCCCCTTCCCAAAAATAGCCAGAATAACCCTCCCACTCATTAGCATATGAAATTACCCAGCTTATAAAAACTAACCACACCACATTTTGCCACCACATTTCACACACTGTCTGTGGAGTGTGCTTCTTTCTGTATCTGAATAAATCCACTTCTTACCTATCACTTTGTCTCTCACTGAATTCTTTCTGCGATGAGACACCAAGAACCTGAGCTTCATTAAGTCCTGAAACCAGATACTGCGGGTTTTAGCTGGGTTCAAGTCCCAGCTATGTGGGTTCACATCCCAAGCAGGGTTTTGGCTGGGTTTGAGTCTCAGCCATGTGGGTTTAAGTCGCAAGCGGGGTTTTGGCTGAGTTTGAGTCCCAATCTGAGGTAAAAAGTTTCACAGGGACTGGGAAACCTTGTGTGACAGGTAGTTCCTGACCCATCTAGCTGAACACCACCATCTCCAGGTCAGGCTCAGCTCTCTTTGGAAAATGAGAGAATGTTGGAGTGGTGAAATCCTACCTTTAAGCTGGAATAGGTAGATGAGTTTATGGATACATGAGTGTGTCCAAAAAAGATATTGGATTAAAAGGATCCTGAGTGGCTCACAGGATCAAGGAGAAAATGAGTTCAGATTTCAGGAAGGGGAAGAGCCAATGCAAGGACTTGAAGAGACCTCAACAGCAGCTCTGGGAATCACCTTTCTAGGGGCTGCCTTTACGCTAACTCCACTCCGATACTCCAGCTGAGACAGGCCTGGGACCTGGGGCTCTTTGCTGCAGTGCTGCGAAGCTTGCACCTGGACATACCTCTCCTTGAGCTGCAAAATACAAAGAAACTATATGAGACTTAAAAAAAACTATGTACACGTGCAGTTGGGCAAATTCAGGACCAAAAAAATACAAAAAGACAAAAAACCCAACTGCCCTTTCTGAAGAGTCAGGGGCAAAAAATGGGTATTTGGGAGCAAAAGGAGGGACTGCACATGCCCACTGCACCCAACACCATCAAAGTGGTGGGCAAACCACCTAAGTGACCCCTTCAGCCAGGCCACTGGATACACTCCTACCCTCACTCCATATAAGGGACAAGGTTGCCCTCCCAGCCTTGGGGAGCAAGCAAAGTAACTTGTTCCTTTTTTTTTACTTCCTCCTGCAGCTAGTGCAGGAGTCCAAATAAAGCCTTGCCTGAATTTCTTGTCTGACCTCTATAGTCAATTTCTATTGATTAAGGAAGGCCAAGAACCTTGGTCAGTATCATAGCCACTGGATACATAAAATGATTAAAGTTTCAAATTCCAGAAGAAACATCAGCTGGCCCTGCTTGGGTCAGGGATCTCTCCTTTAACCAGTTCCTCTCACACAGCAGATATAGTCACTGATTGCCCACTGCTTTGTTTGGGAACATTCCTAGAGAAGGGAGATTTGTGGTGAACTGGGAACCCATCATCCTAGCTGGCATCTGCCAAAGTGGGTGCTTGCCTCCTTGCTCCAAACTGGTCAGCAACAAGCCAGGCAAGGAAAAAACTCTACTCCAGACTCTCTCTGAAGCAATCACTCTTTCATCTGGTAGAAAGTTCCAAGATCAAAGGGAAAAAAAAATCACCAACCTGTAATTTTCTGGTATTTATGATGCTATCTTCTTTTACATGCTTACCTAGCATTTTAAGTTCTGTTATTTAACAGGCTAGAAATTCATGAGGCCAAGTATTTATTGCAATACGCAAATTTTATGTACCTAAACTGTGCAGCTGGGAATAGGCATTTTCTTAAAACATAGTGCAGCCCTCAAGGGAAAGACTCTAAATCAGAAACCCCCAGGGATTTTTAACCAACAAAAGACTTCAAGGAGGGACTCGCCCCTGGAGGCACTGTAGGATGGGGGCAGGGAAAGTTCTCTTTCATTTTTGTCTTCACTGTTTAGTGAACACTTATTCTGTGTTGGCACTATGCTAGGCACCTTGGATGCCAAAATGATACAAACAGATATGGACTCTAGCCCTAGAGAGCTTATGCTGCACTATTAAACTAGCAGTAACACTCATCAGGCTCCGGTGGGGATGTCCTGGGTATGTAGAATCATATAGGGAGGTGACCAAACCCAACCAGGGAGGTGTTTCAAGAAGGGCTGAGACTTGAGAAGAGAGGCTTGAGGCCATGTGGCATGTAGGTGAAGAGTGATCCAGGCAGAAAACTGCATGCACAGAAGCTCTGAGTCAAGAGTGAACCTGATGCATCCAAGGAGCTCGGTGAGTCTAGGTTTGTTTTAGTGTAGACAGCATGGGGCAGTGTGGCCAGTTGAGGCAGGAACCAGGGCAGGGACAGCTTGAGTTAGAATTTTATCATGGAGGCATGGGAGTGGGAGAAGGTTGAGGGGTATCACTGAAGATTTTAAGCAGGGGGTTACCTTCTAAATGTTGTGAGGAGAAGGGTTGATGCTGGACCACTCTGCAGACCAGGCTCATAGGAACCTGGTAAAGAAAACTCATCAAAACTTAAGGGCCCTTTCCAGAAAGCTCTTCAAAGAGCTAGAACTGGCCTCTCTGAGATGTAGAAGAGGTTTTCTGTGAACCAGGGCTGATTGCTGGAGACCCTGGAGCAGGATAGGGTGGCCAAGGCCAAGGCAGGGCTGATGGAAGTGTTCAAGGAGCTCCTCACAGCCACTGTGAGACTGTCTGCTGACACAAGACACACCAACAGATCCTCAGGCCAGCCACTCTCTTTTTAAGTGTCTTCATAAACCATACTACTAGCCTAGAGCTCCTGGTCTCTTCCTTTCCAAGCCCAGGTTCAGAACCTTGTGCTGTTTGGAGCCCAGAATGGGCACAGCCTCTCTCCAGCATCCTTCCATCACTGTGCAGGGAAGGTCAGCAGCTCATCTTTCCATCTTCTTCTCTGAAAAAAAAAAAAAAAATCCTTTTTTTTTTTGGCCTGGTTATACCAAAGAGTAACCAGGTTCTCTTCTCCAGTTCTCTTCCACCCATTTCTCTGAAGAGAGTGGTTCTTTGTTTGAAATGACCAGATTGACTTACTGTCTTGTCACCCCTTTAATATTTATTGAGGATATATGGGTAAAGAACCACATAGAGAGCTCGGGATGGACATGTACACAGTGCTATATTTAAAATGGATAACAAGGACCTATGGTATAGCACACAGAACTCTGCTCGGTGTTATGTGGAAGCCTGGACAGGAGGGTAGTTTGGGGGAGAATTGATAAATATATACGTATGGCTGAGTCCCTTCCCTGTTCACTTGAAACTATCACAACATTGTTAATTGGCTATACTTCAATACAAAATAAAAAGTTTAAAAGAAAAAGACATTTGAGAGAGTGTCAAATGACTCAGATACAAATCTTGACTTCAAGGAACTTACAGTCGTGTGTGAGAAATATACACTGATTCAGCATCTATTTACTGAGGACCTACCATGTGTCATGTTCTGTGCCAAGTTCCCAAGACACAGCATATAAATGGCCACCCTTAAGGAGCTCTTGTGAAAACACAGAAGTGTGTACCAACTGTTTAACATGTAATTTGAAAAGTCAGCACCTTGGTTCCTTGGAAAGTAAGAGAGAGATTGTGTTGCCAGGTGAACACACTGATCAGTGTGCAGGGTAGAAGCTGAATCTCTAGCACTTTGGCGATCAAGTGCCAGGGCTTTCAAGGAAGCAACTGACACAGGGAGAAAAATCTGGGTGCTGGTCTTAGCACCAGAAACTGACGGGGTGGTGACCCAAGAGGGCAGAGATGCTCAGTTCAGGACGAGAGGTGAGGGGAAGGCGGCAATGTCAGAAAATACTTTGCAGTAGAGGCAACACCTGGAGGTGAGTTAGCTGGGCCATCTGGCTGGAGACTATCCCAGACAGAGGAAACAGAATATCTGCCAATAGAGGACAGGCTAAAAGAAAACGTGAAGTGTTGTCCTAAGATGAAATCCCACAGAATAATGAAAAGCCAGTCTCTTAATTTATAATAAGTACAAGGGTAGATCTCAAAAAACAATGCTATGTGAAAAACAAGTTGTAGAATTAAATATGTTTACATGTAAACATACATAAATATATTTATATATATGTTTATACATAAGCATATAAACTGTATGTTTACAATCCATATAAAGTACATATATAGATAAACATATCTATATCAGATATTTAATACTTGTGTCTATATCTAAACAGATATGTAAATGTAGATATAAAGTGAAAGTGTTTGTCACTCAGTCATGTCCTCTGTCCATGGGATTTCTCAGGCAAGAATACTGGAGTGGGTAGCCATTTCCTTCTTTAAGGGAATCTTCCTGACCCAGGGATCGAACCCAAGTCTTCTGCATTGTAGGCAGATTCTTTAACACTGTGCCAAGGGAAGCACATCAAACTCATCAGAGTGATGAGTTTGGGATTGAGGGTGAAGGTGAAGAGGCCTTAAGCTTTATCTGTAGTGTTCCAGTTTCTCAAAGGAGACTATATGTATTATTTAGGGAATTAGAAATCTATAATATAAAGCAAAAATTTAACAGTGCTCTAGACAGACAGAGATGGAGTTCATGGGATATATGGGGTGAGAGAGAACACTTGAAGCTGGGAGGAGTGGAGGAAACTTTGCGAAGGAGACAACCCCTGGCTGAAGGAGATGCAGATCTGGCCTTGCAGAGGTGGCATGGGTGGACGGAAAGGCAAGCAGATAGGAAAATGCAAGATGGATTTGGGGTCAAGCTATAGCTTGCCTGGAGGAGTGTGTGAAGGGGAAGATTGAGGAATCAGGGCCTAGGACTTCGTCACCAGTTGTGGGCTTCAGGGACTTTGGAGCAATGATACTTCAATACTTCAAGGGCTGGTAGCCACAGGCAATGTAAGAGGCAGGAGGCAGATCAGGAGGCTACCACAGTGACCCAGGGGGCCCTGCAGGCAAGTCTAAAGCCTTGTGGGTGCAGTATCCTGGGGTGCAGTTCAAACCTAAACCCCCTACCTGGCTTTTTAGAAAGGTGCTCATCTCCAGCTCTAAACAAAGTGGAGCAAAAAACCAAACCGAATCAAACAAACAAACAAAAATCAAAACGAAACCAGAAACAAAACACTGTGGGGCAAAGCAAGCTCTGAAAAATGACATGTTCTTTAAACTGGTGCTCTCAAGGAAAGCCTTCGTTTCCTTGAGAAATTCTTTATTAATTTAAACACCGTGGCTTTCTGCTAACACTAAGAAGAGATTATAATATTCCAGTGGGGCTTCCTTTGCTTAACATGAAAATAAACCTGACAGAAGGATTACAAAACTGAACATGAAATATTACAAGAAACACTAATTACCTCTCATTCTTTCTTCTCACTCACTAAAACAACTATTTAGACAAACAAAGATGTGGAGAGAAAAGGGGAGCAGAACTGAAGGGTGGCTGGCTCTGCTAATCCCTACTGCTTTGATAAATCTGCAGGAGGATCATTTGATATCTGAGACGTGGGAGGTGTCTTTCAAGGAGTACTTTGCATGGGGTGACCACAGGTAACTCTGATTTGAATCAAAGAGCTTTGGGCTGAATGTACCTTTTGAATCAAAGAGCTTTGGGCTGAATGTATAATTTGTCCTCTGTGAAGCCACCTTGGAACCCTCCCCTCTCCTTCTCTGGCTGCAGTAATTACCCCTCCTCAGGCCCAGAGCCCTGTGGTCTGTGAAAACACCTGGGCAGAGATGGCTGTCTGCAGACATTCAAGGGCTGGTAGCCACAGGCAATGTAAGAGGCAGGAGGCAGATCAGGAGGCTACCACAGTGACCCAGGGGGCCCTGCAGGCAAGTCTAAAGCCTTGTGGGTGCAGTATCCTGGGGTGCAGTTCAAACCTAAACCCCCTACCTGGCTTTTTAGAAAGGTGCTCATCTCCAGCTCTAAACAAAGTGGAGCAAAAAACCAAACCGAATCAAACAAACAAACAAAAATCAAAACGAAACCAGAAACAAAACACTGTGGGGCAAAGCAAGCTCTGAAAAATGACATGTTCTTTAAACTGGTGCTCTCAAGGAAAGCCTTCGTTTCCTTGAGAAATTCTTTATTAATTTAAACACCGTGGGTTTCTGCTAACACTAAGAAGAGATTATAATATTCCAGTGGGGCTTCCTTTGCTTAACATGAAAATAAACCTGACAGAAGGATTACAAAACTGAACATGAAATATTACAAGAAACACTAATTACCTCTCATTCTTTCTTCTCACTCACTAAAACAACTATTTAGACAAACAAAGATGTGGAGAGAAAAGGGGAGCAGAACTGAAGGGTGGCTGGCTCTGCTAATCCCTACTGCTTTGATAAATCTGCAGGAGGATCATTTGATATCTGAGACGTGGGAGGTGTCTTTCAAGGAGTACTTTGCATGGGGTGACCACAGGTAACTCTGATTTGAATCAAAGAGCTTTGGGCTGAATGTACCTTTTGAATCAAAGAGCTTTGGGCTGAATGTATAATTTGTCCTCTGTGAAGCCACCTTGGAACCCTCCCCTCTCCTTCTCTGGCTGCAGTAATTACCCCTCCTCAGGCCCAGAGCCCTGTGGTCTGTGAAAACACCTGGGCAGAGATGGCTGTCTGCAGACCGTAAGCTCATTCATAACCCAGTCCATAGGGAAAATGCTGATGCCCACCCTGACTAGCCTAGTGCTTGTAAGAATTCACTGAATGAGAAGTTGATTTGGGGAAGAAGGGAAAAGGACCAAGTAAGAAGAAAGAGAGAAAGGGTGGATAGTCACGGAGACTTGTGATGGTTGAAACACTGTGTTCTGGGGTCTGTATAAAGCTGTCCAACTCCCCGGAAACCACCCCTATTTGGTCTGTTTCTGCAAAAAGCTTTCATCCCCATTATTTGCATTCTGGACCCTGGATTTTAAAGCAATAGTTAATTGACATCTCCTCACCCTGCTTTCCATCAGATCCTTCTCTTCAGCAGCCTCTGGAAGGGTCCTTCGCATGCAAGGATTCTTAACTAAAAACTCAGGAAGGCCTGTGAGGGCAGAGTGAAATAGACAAGATGCGGTTTCTGATCAGCCTGACACGTGCGCACTCACCTGAGTTGCGTATGTAAATAATGATGGATTACTGGATTCCCCAGTGTCCCCCCCCACCCCATCGCACCTTTGAGTGTGTGTGTGTGGTGCTGTGTTTGGAGCTCCCACTCCATCGTTGTCCCAGTTGGTCTTGCCTCAGCAGTCACCGTGCTCCTGCCTCCCGTGTTGTCTGTTTCATCCGATCAGTGCTGAGCGACTTCCTGGTCTGAGGGCTGACGCAGCAATTTCTGGGAATCCCCAGTCCCTCTGTGCATGTTCTTATCCTACTGAAGGCTGCAGCCTAAATCCTCTGAATCCAGTGAGCATGACTGTCAGTTTAGCCTCTACCTGTGTGCATCTGAAATGCCTTCTTAGAGCTGAGTATTAAGGCCATGCGGGCTTTTTGGTGGAAAGAGATCAGTTTCCAGTTTGAATGTCACCTGAAACAGTTTCCCTCATTTTCATAAATTTCTTTCATTTTATTTTTTGGCTGCATCAACATTTTCTTATCTCAGATACAGTGACTTTCTGTTTTGTTTGAGCATTTAACATTGACCTACTTAGCTGTTACAAATATTTCTCAGATATGTACTGCTTTCATTAGGCAAACAACCTGAAAACCTAAAACAAAATGCATGTGTTTAAACTTTTCACTGCCAAACAAACTAATAGCAAGTAACAACAACAAACAAGCACTATTAGTTTCTGGAAGAATTATATCTAAGCACACCAAGAGTAATTATTGATTCACAAAATGCTCATTTTCAGGAACACAGTTCTGAAGGAAAAAAAAAAGTTTAAAGGAAATAGGGAAATAAGCAAGAAAATAGAAGAGATTTAGATTACCAAAATTGGATTAGTAACATTCCACTTAGAAACTGAGGACCTGTTTGTTAATGACTTCATAGTATATTCCTATCCTGTTTGTTTTAAACTGAAGATGGGTCTCCGTGGGATCCTCAAGTGCACTGTAAGCATATTTGGATGAGTGTAGTAAGACTTGGGCTTCCCAGATGGGTAAAGAATCCACTTGCAATGCAGGAGACGGGGGTTCAATCCCTGGGTCAGGAAGATCCCCTAGAGGAGTGCATGGCAACCCTCTCCAGTGTTCTTGCCTGGAGAATACCATGGACAAAGGAACCTGGTGGGCTACAGTCCATAGGATCGCAAAGAGTTTGACACGACTGAAGTGCCTGAGGACACAGTAAGACTTATAGGCAGCAAATAAGAATTAAAACTCTGCAAGGAGAGAGCAGACCCAAAGTGTTCCCAAGCCCTGAGACTTGAAGCAAGTAGGAGGACTGTCAGTTACTCTACATCGGTGCAGTTCTCCTGTCTCACATGTGTATAGCCCAGCACTGAGAGAATCTACAGAAGGAAGTCCTACTATGGACTGCATTGTACACTCCCCAACCAATTAACATGTTGAAGCCCAAAAACCTAATTGGACTATATTTGGAAACGGAGCCTGTAAAGAGGTGATT